CCCCCCCCCCCAGTCTGTCTCTCACCCACTGGCTCCTCAATTCATATCTTCACTGACTGCCCTTCCTGCTGCAGCCTAGCCACTGGCCTCTTTACTATTCATCCCATCCAGGAAGAGTGCATACCAGCTGCAGAGGTTTCCCCAGCCTGACCAAAGGCTTTTAAGCACAACAGCTTGCTAAGAAAAATATTTTTAACTATTTCATTGGTCTAATAAAAGATGTCACACATAGACCACCCCCCAGATAGCACCCCCCCACCCCCCAACGGCTCAGTAGGGCTGTGCGAAATGGCAGCGTGTCGTTTCGACCAGTGTTTCAATGTCTCGATGAAACAGCATTTTGTTTTGAATTGTGTTTTGATTCAAAACAGCTGTTCCGTTGGGTCAAAACAGGATCAAAACATTTTAACTGTTTCGATGTTTCACCCATAGGTTATAATGGGGAAGGACAAAACAGCCTATAACGTTGTCATTTCTAGGTTTATTTAGATTAAACTTGCAAGAATGGTAGCCCCTTCTTAGGGCATAAAGTCTACCAACTGTCAAGGAGATAGGTGCAGGGAGTTTGGGGAAACTGCACCTCAAGCTTTTGAAAGCAAAACTTGTATCACCTATATGTGTTAAGCCACAGTGGGGTCAAGACTGTAGACATGCAAGCCCCTGTAGAGGCCACAAATCTTGCCAAGTTTCAAGGAGATAGATGCAGGGGATTCAGGGAAACTGCACCCCAACATTTTGAAAGCAAAACTCATGTCACATGTATGTGTTAAGCCACAGTAGAGTCAAAACTGCAAGTGTGCTAGCCCCTACAGAGGCCACAAAACCTGCCAAATTTCAAGAAGATAGGTACAGGGGTTTGGGGGAAACTGTACCTTAAGCTGCGGAGAAACAAAACTCACGACATGCGTGACATTGTGTGTGTTAAGGTGTAGCAGGATGAAAGCTGCAGGGATGGTAGCCCCTGGTGAGGCCACAAAGCCTGCCAGCTTTCTAGCAGATAGGCGCAGGGGTTCTGGGTTCTGGGGCCCTGCACCTCTAGTTGCTGACAGGCAAAACTCGTGACATGGGTGCTTGTGCCTAGCTAGCTACTGTGTTATGCAATCAAACATGATTCACTCAGGGACAGATCAATACACAGTAGCGAGGTAGGCTAATGAGTTAATGAGCAAGGATTAACACCTACTAAACCACAGACTAAGGAGAGGAAAGAATCCATACAGAGCCAGGAACTGCTTCTGCCCCAAGACAGACAGACAGTTGCACAAACACCCACCCCTGGCACAAGGCCAGACAGTTGGTGCAAGCTGGTGCATGGAGGGTCCAAGAAGGACTAGGACCCTGGGAGCTGCTTGAGGTGGCTTGGGTCTCCAACCCCTGGCATGAGGCCAGGCAGTTGATGCGCAGCTGGTGCACGGAGGCTCCCAAAAGGGACCAAGACCCTGGGAGCTGCACAAGGTAGCTTGGGTCTCCCATCCTTGGCACAGGGCCAGGACTTGGTGCACAGGTGTTGAGCCCCAGCTCAAGTCTGGGATCGTGCCCGGTATGCAAAGGCCAATAAAGATACCAGGGGTGAAAGTATAAAGATTTATTGCTAGCAATACAAGGTGCAAGCGGAATAATTTCACGTAACAAGCACACAGAGTCTTAATTATGAGCATCTTTTATACAGGAGTATTGGACCTTCATAAGCATTCTTGTTTGCTAATTGGTTATAAGGGAGTGACGCAAGGAGTTCTTTACTGAGCATGTCTCTATACCTGTGTTTTAGCTATGTATCTCATTTCCATACATGTATGTTTCATTAGCATACTTTCTCCCCACCCAGGGGTGTGATTCTCAATATTCAAATCAGCTCTTTGCTCTAGTCCTCTGATTCTGCATTTGTTTTCAAGCCTCCTTTATCTAAGACTGTCTTCTCCTTATCATTGCAGCTGGGCATTAGTTACATAACAGAGACTTTTGCTTGGGCTTTGTATAGTGGTTTCTAGGTCAAACCTGACACAGGCAGTGCACAAAGAGGCCAGGAGTGGACTGAGACCGGTGCTGCACAAGGTGGCTTGGGTCTCCACCCCCGGGCACAAGGCCAGGTGGTCAGTGCACGGCTGTATACAGAGTCTGAGAGGGACCGGGACACTGGGAGCTGCTCGAGGTGGGAAATTGCAGCAAATTGGCTTAAGGGTCATAACCAGAGAGTGGTGGTGGATGGGTCGGTATCGACCTGGAAATATGTGGGCAGTGGGTTCCCCTAAGGTTCGGTCCTTGTGCTGGTGCTGTTCAAGGTCTTCATCAGTGACCTGGATGAGGGTGTGGAAAGCACTCTGCCCAAATTCACAGATGATACAAAACTATGGGGCGAAGTAAAGACACTGATGGGAAGAAACTGAATCCCAGTGGATCTGGACAGGTTAGAGAAGTGGGCAGAGAACAATAGGATGCACTTCAACAAGGACAAGTACAAGGTGCTGCACCGAGGGAGAGGGAATCACCAGCACACCTATAGGCTAAAGGATGACCTTCTCAGCATCACAGTGGTGGAAAGAGAGCTCGAAGTCATTGTTCACTCCAAGATGAATATGAGCCATCAATGTGATGAAGTAATTAGCAGAGCTAGCCTCACTTTGTCATGCATTAGTAGGTGCATCACGAACAGGTCCAGGGAAGTGATGCTTCCTCTCTATTCGGCACTGGTCAGGCTGCAGCTGGAGTAGTGCATCCAATTCTTGGTGCCGCAATTCAAGACAGATGTGGACAACTTTGAGAGGGTCCAGGGGAGAGCCACTCATATGGTTAGAGGCCTGCAGGGAAGGCCTTGAGGAAAGGGTGAGGGACCTGGACCTTTTCAGCCTCCGCAAGAGAAGGCTGAGGGGGGATCTTGTGGCTGTATACAAATTCACCAGGCAAGGGCAACAGGGAAAAGGAGATGCTCTGTTTATCAGGGCACCCCTTGGAATAACCAGGAACAATGGCCACAAGCTGATGGAGAATAGATTTAGGTTGGACATCAGGAAGAACTTCTTTACAGTGAGGGTTGCCAAAATCTGGAATGGGCTTCCAAGGGAGGTGGTGCTCTCCCCTACCCTGGGGGTCTTCAAGAAGAGACTGGACAAGCACCTGGCTGGGGTCACGTGACCCCAGCACTTTTTCCTGCCATCAGCAGGGGATCCAACTCGATCTGATGCGGTCCCTTCCAACGCTAGCACCTATGAATCTATGAGGCCAGGCAGTTGGTGCACGGCTAGTGCATGGAGGGTCCAAGTGGGACCGAGGCCCTGGGAGCTGCTCGAGGCAGCTCGGGTCTCCCATCCCCAGCACAGGGCCAGGCAGTTGGTGTGGAGCTGGTTCACAGAGGGTCCCAAAAGGGACAGAGACCCTGGGAGCTCAGGTCTCCAATCTCCAGCATGGGGCCAAGCAGCTGGTGCATGGCCGGTGCATTGACGGTCTGAGAGGGACTGAGGCCTTGGGAGCTGCTCCAGGTGGCTCGGGTCTCCAACCCCTAGCACAAGGTCAGGCAGTCAATGCATGGCTGGTGCATGGAGGGGCCAAGGCTCAGGGAGCTGCTTGAGGCAGCTCGGGTCTCCAACCCCTGGCATAAGGTAGAGCCCCCGATGCATGGAGTGGTACACAAGGCCTTGAGCAGACTGGTGGCTGGGAGAGCCCAAGGCAGCTGAGTGCCGAGGGAGTGGACATCTCACCTGGTGAGATGGGGACAACTTCACCAGGCCTCGGAGTTTGAGTTGCCTGGGAAGGAGTTTCCCACAGGGGAGGGGCTCCCTGGGTGTGGAGGTTTTCTTTGTGGGCTATTCTAGCTGGGTTGTGGAGGGCCTGAAGGACACTGGGGATCTTTCTCCCTTCCTCATCTCTGGAGTGCTGCCACTGCTCCAGGACAACTCGAGCTATTTCTTTTGTGTCTTAGAGAATTAGCATGTTATTTGATGCTCCTGCGCCTTATATTTTGTAAGTTGGCACCTTGCAAGTTTGCCAGAACATATTCCTATTGTGTGTGTGTGTGTGTGTGTGTATGCATGTGTGTGTGTGTATCTATCTATCTATCTATCTATCTATCTATCTGTATATTTACTCTTCATTGTACTAACAAATTGTACATAGGTAAGTTTATGGAGGGTCCTGGTCTGGCTCTATGGGGGATGGAGGGAAACTGCTTGCAGCTAACAGTTGTACCCCAGCACACCTGCCCTGCTAACAAGCTCTTCAAAGGCAGAAGGGAGTATATAACTGAGTACTACCCAGGTTACATAGAGAATTGAGGGATTGCTGCCACCAACAGTGACACCGAGCCCCTGTGAGGCAATACTCAGGATCAGGCCCTGCTTTTCCTGTTCTCAGAAGAGACTAGAAACAATTTCTTTGACTTTCCCCTGACTCTGAAGGAGACAATTGTGTTCTCAAATACGACACTTGCACGGCAGCAGCTAAATAAGGAGGCAAAATGGAGCTGGGTGAATCATCTGCAGGAACATCCAGAGTCAATAAATAGGAGGGCCTGCACAGAAGATGCCTCCCACATCAAAGCAACTTCAAAGGAAGCTCGGGGCAATTTCATTGACCTCATCCCTGTATAAAAAACTCTGAAATAACCTGTATGCTGCTTCCTTTTACCTGGCTACAAATAAATAGAGACATTTTGCCATCCCCTCTAGAAACAAACCTCTGTTTGTCGTTGGTACTCTGCTCTCAGCAGACGCCAGCTAAGCTTGGCCATGAAGCTCCTCTATCTTCTTGTGGGTGTTGCCTTCTTGGTCTTCCAGACCCAGGCTCAGGACGGGGCCGTGGCACAGGATGAGTCTGAGGCCCAAGATCTGGATGAGATGGAAGAGGAGGCTGAGGATGAGTTTGTGGAAGCAGAAGATGTCGCTGGTATGGGATCTCCAGGTGAGGAAAAGCAATAGAGATAAATATCAGGTGGGCATGGGTGGAAGGGAGAGTCCTCTCTTTGCAGCACTACCATGTTGAGCATCCTAAAAAAGGGCAGGGAGAAAACTGGAGAGTTTGCAACTTACTTAGGAAGGTGCAAGATGCAGGGGCAGTGATAAGTGTGCTTAGAAGTAACTGGTCTCCTTAGCAGAGATCCTTAGAGCTGGTATCCTTAGAGAGCAGCCGTGTCTCCTATCAGTCTTCACTGTTTTAGGTGAATCGACCCAAGCTCCTTCAGCCTCCTCAGGTCAGATGAGCTCTTCAGTCCAGTGACCTGCCTCATAGCTCTTCTCTGTAACTGTCTGACTCTGAATTCAAGACACAGGCTATCTCATCTCTCTATTTTCTTGTGATACAGTCTAAGATGTCTCATTTCAGTGTGTGACAAAAGTTAGCAGATTTTCAGGATTTGAACAGGATGGAAAAGCATCACACCTGGGTGCCGAAGGCCTCTTAGCTGTCCAATAGATGGAAAGGAGTCTGGCCCTCAGGGGTCCCAAGAGGGGTCACAAATTGTTTAAAGGAAAACTTCTTGGCAAGCCTTGCTGCAGCCCCATTTTCACGTTGCTGCAACTGGCCATGTCTGCGTGAGACGCTGACTGCATGGTTGTTACTGCGCAGTCATTCAGTACTTGCATACAGAAGTACTAAATGGCTATGTAGTAACCGGCGTTACTGTGCAGTAGTGTCCCCAAACGGCTTTGTGGTGACACTGACTGCATAGCGGCTCATTGCTACTGCATCACACTTCACGCCGTGCAATGCTGCTGCACAGTACTAACAAGCTACTGCGCAGTCAGCGTCTCGTGTAGATGCAACCAGAGAGAACAGATTTGGGTCCATTTTCTTCATGTCTTCACGTGCCCATAGCTTCACCAAATCACCGGGGCCGTTTACACTTTGGTTGTATTTCTGAAGGATGAATTCTGGTCTCTGCTACTCGTGCATGTCAGTCACTGAGCTCCAATCACCTTTACGTACTGCAGAGCTTGCAAGGAAAGATCGTCCCCGCTGCCGAAAAGGACTGTTTTGCAGACCCAAGTGTGGACGGAAAGAACATGTAATTGGGACCTGTCCCAAAGGGCTGATTTGTTGTCGAATCCTCTAAGCCAGCACCATCCTGAGAGCAGAAGGAAACCACAAGTTAGTTCAACACGTCTGAGAAACTGTAATTCCTTTCTTGAACATAAATCCATAGCATTGATATCCATGTGTGTGGTGTTTTGCTTCAAAGTGTCCCTAGTATGAATAGTGCTGGCATTACATTTTTTGCTGGCTAGCATCAGTAGGAAATGTCTGTGATCCCCTTTGATGGGTTTGGAGATATTGAAGTTGTTCTGGTTCTACCTGGGGGGGTGGGGAAGCTGAGTGGCATTTCCCCAAATGTCTCTTTGACCCCCCACCAAGGAACACTAAATAGAGTTTGTGCCCTGGGGCACAATAGTGGGGGTACCATGAGATCTATTTAAGGGTGCTGAGGTGAGGAAGGTGGGGGAACATGCAATATTAGTGCTGTTAGGTGTGCAAACACCTGCACATTATGCAGAAGATAAACCCAGGGATGCCAAACAGCCAAAAAACCTGTGCAATGGGGCACTGATCTTGGCTGTGGGTTGTAGAAATTGCTGTATAGTTAACAATAAATAGCAGTAACAGCACCATATAACTGAGTTAAGGGGTGGGCCATGGACTGCAGTAATAACACCTAGTGCTTGCTAACCCCTGCAAACGTTAACCCATTGCTGCTTCATGCGCTGAATTCCTTAAAAGGTTTGCACTTAAGCTGACCTCCACGTGCTCTTGAGTAAATGCCCCTTTGATACCATCGGCTTATGGAATTTGGGTGGGAAGGGGGGTGAAAGTTCAGGGGATCTTCAGAAAAGGTTTGGGAAAGGGACAAAAACTTCTATAGTTATGCTAGGATGTGCAGCTGTCTTGTCTCTGACGGCAGAGGGCAATGAACTCTGAGACAGAAGCCGACCTTGGACACATGTTGAAAGAGAATAAATGAATAGTATGATGTCTGCTAGGAGGGAGTCACCTCAAAGGTGGCATGTGCACATCAACCTCACAGGCACCGAGCTGGGACTGAGGGCTTATCTCTGGTGAGCCCCGGCAAGCAGATTGAGGAATAACAGAGCAGTCAGATCAGAACATCCTCAAAGGAAGTGTGGGGCAATTTCATTTCCTCCAGAGCTGCACCCAGCTTTAATCACAATGGCCCTCATCTCCACCCTGTGCTCACAGATTCATAGATGTGGGGTTGGAGGGGACCTGAGCAGATCATTAAGTCCGACCCCCTGCCCTGGGCAGGAATGAATACTGGGCTTATATGACCCCTACTAAGTTAAGCTCATATGACCCCAGCTAGGTAGTTATCAAGCCTCCTTTTAAAGACCCCCGGGGTAGGAGCCAGCACCACTTCCCTTGGAAGTTGGTTCCAGTTCCTGGCTACCCTGACGGTGAAGTAGTGCCTCCTGATGTCTAGCTTGAACCTACTCTCTAACGACTTGTGGCCATTATTCCTTGTTACTCCGGGAGGTGCTCAGGTGAACAGAGTCCCTCCCATTCCCCGCTGGTCCCCCCCGGTAAGTTTATAGATGGCCACCAGGTCCCCTCTTAGCCTTCTCTTGTGGAGGCTGAACAGGTTCAGGTCCCATAGCCTCTCCTCGTAGGGCCTGTCCTGCTGCCCGCTGATCATGCAAGTGGCTCTCCTCTGGACCCTCTCCATGCTGTCCACATCCCTCCTGAAGTGCGGCGCCCAGAACTGGACGCAGTACTCCAACGGTGGTCTGACCAGTGTCACAAAGAGGGGGAGGATCACCTTCTTGGATCTGCTTAAGATGAATCTGTGGATGCATGACAAGGTGCGGTTAGCCTTGCTGACAGCATCCTTGCATTGGTGGCCCATGTTCATTTTAGAATCAATAATGACTCCAAGATCCCTTTCTGCCACTGTGCTTTCTAGAAGGGAGTTCCCCAGCCTGTAGGTCTGCTGCTGGTCCTTCCTCCCCAGGTGCAATACCCCGCACTTGTTAGTATTGAATCCCATCCTATTCACATTTGCCCACCCCTGAGAGGCTGGACACCCACAAATCCGCTGGTCCAGACAGATTGCACCCAAGACTGTTTAAGGAACTGGCAGACATCATAGCGTGGGCACTGGCAAGGATATTCGAGAACTCGTGGCGCTCGGACAAAGTACCTGAAGATTGGAAGAGGGTCGATGTGGTACCTATCTTCAAGAAAGGGAGGAAGGAAGACCCAGGGAACTACAGGCCAACCAATTTGACCTGTACTCTTTAAAGTCTTTATAAATAATCTGGATTCTGGTGTCAGAAGTGGACTGGCTAAGTTCACTGATGACACCAAACTTTGGGAAAAAGCGTTCACACTTGAGGATAAACAGGTTATCCAGGCTGACCTCGATAGGCTTGTAAGGTCAGTGGATGAAAACCTGATGGCATTCAATATGGAGAAATGCAAGGTGCTCCACCTCGGGGAAAAAAAACCCATATCATACTTATAGGCTCAGCAGTACTACACTTGCTAGCACCACGGCCAAAAGAGACTTGGGGGTCATGATTGACCACCAGATGAACACAAGCCTCCAATGTGATACCACAGCCTTTAAAATGAACAAAACTCTGGCTTGCATCCAACAATGCTTCTCAAGCAAGTCCCAGGATGTCATCTTCCTGTTGTACTCAGCCTTGGTGAGGCCATAGCTGGAGTACTGCATCCAATTCTGGGCTTCACAATTCAAAAAGGATGTAGAGGAGTTTGAGAAAGTCCAGAGAAGAGCCACGCGCATGATTAGAGGTCAAGAGAACAGGCCCTATGATGAGAGGTTGAAAGCCATGGGACTCTTCAGCCTGGAGAAGCGAAGGCTCAGGGGTGACTTATTCATAGATGTTAGGGTCGGAAGGGACCTCAATAGATCATCGAGTCTGACCCCCTGCATAGGCAGGA